AATAGTGGTTTCAGTGAACACGGTGTTATAGGTCTTTCTTTTTCTTTAAAAAAAGTTTTAGAATTGGCTGCGCACCCATAGTTCAGTGGTTGTAGTTAGGGTGCCAGCCACATACCCCGGGGCTGGCCCAGGGCCAGCTAAAAAATAAAACAGCCAGGTGTTCTAGCGGGCGCCTGTAGTCCCAGCTACTAGGGAGGCTGAAGCAAGAGAATTGCTTGGGCCCAAGAGTTTGAGGTTGTGATCTGTGATGCCATAGCAGTCTACTGAGGGTGACAAACTGAGACTCTGTCCATATACTGGAGGTGGTGGATTCAAACCTGGCTCCGGCCAAAAAAAAAAAAGTTTTAGAATATTTGAACAGAAATGCAGAAATCAATCAGACACTGAAAGTACTAAAAGCTGGAAGAGAGGTGGAGTTTAACATACAACTGAAAATGTAATCTCAGCCTGATGGCAAAGCCTCATTTGCATTTTGGGTCTGGGTTACAATAGGACACAGGTAGGAATGGATCCAGGATTCACACAGCAGCCAGCTCTCTTCTAGTGCTAACCCATAACAAAACATTTCTGTAAAAACAGGGTCTCCTCTGAATAGGATCTCTTTTTCCTGAGGTATCTTTCCCTACAATCTCTACTGCTAGTTCATTGGCTCCACAGCTTCAGCGTAAAAGAAAAAGGCACAGAGAGACTTGGGACGTAGGACAGACATGAATGCCTCTGTAGCTGAACAAAGCCCTCTGCTGCAGGCCGACATGCTGACGCACTCTCTGCAGTAGTCACAGCAAAGTCTGCACTCTTCATCGAGGACTAACTAACGTCTCCACTCTATAGCAGGAGATAATGTCTATGCATAAAGCAAGCTGAAAAACATCAACATTTTTTTCTTACTGAAGTACAACTAATGCTGGTCCAACTGAGCATTACTAAAGTGATTAAAATGAGAAGCATCTGGTGGCAACCAAAAAACTGGGATTTAAAAACAAAACTTTTTAAAAAGTTTTTTCACAGCAAAAATGCAACTTTCAATTGCTATATATACGCTGGTCATGAACTGTCGCTTGTTTGTTCAGACTTCTTTCCCTTGTGTTATAATATTGATATTTAATAGGAAAATAAACTACATAGACTTTTATCTGTATGCATCCATTTGCAAATTTCCTTACAAAAAAGGACAAAGCACATAGGCATTCACAAATTCTATGCCATTTCTGTTAAAATTGGTATCTATACAGTATATTACAGTATTAACAATTTTTTGTTCTACCCATTGGGTAGGATATGTGCATAATATATGTGACTTATATACAGCACCTTACAAATAAAAACATAAGAAAAGACAGACAACTGAAAAAGCACCATTGTAAGTGAGGCACAACAAAGGTGGCATTGACTGAGTGCAGGGGCTGCTCAGGTCCTTTGTCTGCAGAGACCAGAACTGACATGCAGAGCTCTATGAAATGACGGGAGGGGTGTGTGTGTGTGTGTGTGCACATATACACACATATGGTGTGCATGGATAGTGTAGTTAATCTGTAGAGTGCTAGCCCCTCTCCCATGTGACAAACACACGCACGCTGAAGGAAGAAAAGGATGAAGGAAGACACTGCTCTCTTTGCAAGACAGTCCCATACCCGCGGATGGCAGCTTCCCTACGCACCCATCTTGCACAGCTGTGGCAGCAGCAATTGTCTAACCCGGCCTGACCAGAGACGTGAGCCATGCAGAGCACACAGTGTGCAGAAACCTTGATTCCTAAAACTCTGTAGCTCTGCAAGCCTAAAAGCATCTTCCAGGGTCCATTCTCTGGTCTCTGGAAGGTGGTGGCAGCTGGCAGCAGGGCCTGATGGAATTGGTGAAAGTTGGATAAGGCACGGAGCCACTGAGAACTTTCACTTGTAATCTGGGGTTTGTGATTTTAATGTGCTACTAGTAGATAAAGCGTTCCTCTCAGTGAGAAGGGAGGCTCCATCCCAGCCAGCTTATCCTCCAGAGCGTCCTTTCACCCTCACTATAGCAAAAACGTGACGGCCTCTCTGGCAGTGCGAGCAGAAGCAGCTCAGCTTACACCCCTAAGTGAAGGCTGGGGGTACATAGTGGGCCCAGGGCACACTCACAGGGGAAGGCTCAGCCCAGAAACCTGGCTTCAGTCACCTGGGCAAGGAAAGCAAAAGTCAACATGAACCAAGCATCCTTCCCAGCTTTCTCCCTCATATACTGCTGAGCTTTGGGAATTTTAACAAAAAACATCCATGGTATACAAGAGTTAAGACCCCTGTTCTAAATAGCAAAATTGAGTAGGCAGGGAAGCACCAGTGCAGCAAACACACCATGAAGGGGCATTCAGGGCACAGCACAGGTGGCTAGGCTCCCTGTGCCACCCACGGTACCTCAGCAGAAGCCTGGGAGCCCACAGGGTTGAGCCACAAGACGAGGGCAGGCCAGGCGCATGTCCCTGAGACAGCAACCAGCGTCTGGCTGAGAATATGTCTGAAGGGCTCTGTGCCAAGCATCTTCCTATGAAGAAAAGCAATTGGATGAGAGATAGAGGATCACCACTGTGGAGGGCACTGAGGGTTCAGATAGGAAGGCAGGGATTGGGATGGAGACTTCTAAATTGGAGGAGCTTTCTGTACGTGCTTCCTTTTGAGCCCCTTTTCATTCTTACAAAGATAAAGAAGAAGATGAAATGGAGATATTCAGAAATTCAAGAAGTACTAGTATGTGTCCCATTTCCTATGCTGGTACCAGGAGGCCTCCCAGCATTTTACCTTTTAAATATTCTCCTCTACTGTCTTGAAATTTCTCGTGGATTGGTTGTGTGGCCATGTGTTTATGTGGGGGAGGCAAAGGCATGGCTTCTTTATCAGAAAAATTTGGACACAAAAATTAGATTAACTCCATAAATGCATATTTGTTTCATAAGCTCTCTTTTCCATCAAGGATTGTATCAGTGTTTAAAGAACACTAGAGTTTCTTAAGTTAGAAGACCATTCCTATACATGAGATTCTAGATGCCTTGGGGTCCCCACTCCTAGAAGGCTCCCTGGGATGAGGGACCAAAGTTGGAGGTATGCCTAGGAGAATTAGTTCCTATTCTCTGTTCTTCCAACAGTGTAATCCTCACTGCAACACTGCACTGGAATCTAGGATTATAAACTTATCACTGATGGCCAAGGCTCCTATAGATTACATCACTTGAAAGAACAGCAGGCTCTACTGTGAAAGTGCCAACTGCCCTCCCAGTACTGCACTGGCCACCAGACCATGGGGCATGAATAAGGCAGCTGCTGCCTTCAAAGGAGCTGCTGATGTCCATCACCCTCCCCTGCATCAAAGGCAAATTGACTATTAATTCAACTTATGACCTTAGCTTTTAAAGTAATTCATTATAGAGGCCCGGCCTCAAAGACCTTTCAAAGTCATGGTTTCATATGTATGTCTAACTATTTAACTTAAAAAGCAATTCTCTAGAATGGTTGAATGGGAAGAACCTCTCCTTTGAAAGACAATTCTAGGTATCTGAATTAAATAATTGTCTTGCCAATACCATGGATGTCTGCAGAACATTCATCTACTTGCAAAGTAACTAAGGAATCTGATTGATGTCTCTGATTGGAGCTCATTCCCGTGACAGGCAGAACAGCAGCGACTGCGAACCCTTTCTGAGCTGGAGATGTGGGGCTCACCTGCCCCGCCAAAGCTGTGGGCTAGGCCTGAAGTAATGAAGTCACTTGCTCACTTCCTCACCTTCGTGTCCTGGGGGAAAACTGACCAAGTTTCCACTGCAAGTCCCCCAGCAAGGCCTGACTCATCTTTCCCCAATGCTCAAGCAGGGGATTCTGTGACAGAACCCCCCTTTTCTCAAGCATGGACATGAAGTCCTGGCTCACAGCTTGAGGGAGGCCTCCAGGGACGGGGAAAGGTCCTCTCTGGCCTCGAGTCAGCCTCTGCCCTGCCAGCAGTCTTCTCCCTGATAGAGGCCTTCCCAGTGTCTTGGAATCCCTACGAGGCCTTCAGATCAGGAAAACACAGAAGGTCTTAGGACAAGCTGCCGGCTATGCCCATCTTTCTTTGTCTCCTGCTTAGAGTTCAGCTAGTTCTGTGGATGTTACTGTGTGAAATGGATGAATAGACATTTCAGTCCTCAAAACAAACCAGCCAGTGGCCTGCCTGCTGCCATACCCAGCAGAAGAGAGCACAAGGACCCAGCTGGAGCAGCCTCTCCGGCTCCAGCAGCCTCTCCAGCTCCCGGCAACATGCAAAGCTGCCTCACTGCAGAATCACCTCCAAGACCCAGACAGACACAGCCACACACACGCCCACTAGGGTTTTCAAGCTGCATAGACAGTGTCACCCAGTCACCATTCCTATTCATGTAATTCCTGGGGCCAGAGAGGGCCCCCCTCCCACTGCAGAGAAGCCGTCTCCGTGTATAACTTTGCCAAGCCTGTTGGCTACTATATCACAAGGCCAGCACTCACATAGCAAAAGGTTTTTTAGTTGTATATAAGGGTGAATACTTGTAAATATCAGGAATATTAAAACTAAGACTAACAATATTTAAAATTAGTTTTCTAGTTGCATTTTAACTGCATGTTGTGCTTTTTATCCTGTGCTGTTAAGTCCCTCCAGTGCCTGCATTGTCCTCTAAATGACTACCTGGTTCTTGCCATAAGGATAAAGGCTGACTGGAGCCCACCATGAGCCTGGGTGGGCTCTGAGCACCGCTTCCTCTACGAGTGCTGTGCTCACACAGAGAGAGGTGATGGATGACTTGTTACCATCAGCAGCGTGGCACTTGTGAGCTCCAGGGGCTTCCGAAGCATAAGAAACCACTGCCAACATCACGCACACACAAGTGCCAGGCAGGCAGTTATCAGGCTGACTGCTGCTGCCTCCTGTTGAACTGACTGGTCCTGCAGGGCTACACTGGGCTGACCAGGAATGGGGGCCATGGGCACACTGAGGGGCCAGAGAGTTCAACAGGCACAGATGCCACCTTGCATTTTAAACAATTTATTGCATAAAGTAAGGTAAGTATCTGAATAAATGTCATGTTATGGTGAAAGAAAAAAATCTAAATTACTGAAGAAATGGCACTGCTGGAGGGTGAGGGCAGCACTGTAGGATACTGGATATTGAAACACATGTGTCAGATTTATTTTCAATAAAATACGCAGCCTACAAGTAGCAGAGTAACTCAAATAACAAGTCAGAAATGCTGAGACTTACTAGTATTTCCTATCTCCCATCTAAAAGTTTCCAAATACTTCAGCAATGCATTGCTATTTGCTGCAATTTTTTGCAACAATGACCTTTTTGATTTACGCAAGTTGGTAAGTATTAGGCTACACCCCCAGTGATCTTATATGAGTCTGGGGTACACTCCAGGACATTCCTTGGGCCTAGTAACAATCCACAGGTGAAAAGACAACATACAGAACTTCCCATACAACAGTTCCCTCATATATATTCAAACATTAAGATAGTGCAACCTTTGAAACACATCATCACAACACAAATTAGCTCCTTGCATTCATTTAACTTCTCCACTTTATACCTTGGCACACAAAACAGGAATTTTGATTTCATATTTTTAAAACAAAATAAAAGTTCCACACCTTGGGAAAAAGCAAACTGGCTGATTCTTCCCCATGATAATATAGAATAATGCTTCCTTCTTTATTCAGTTTATTATAAAACAGGCCACTCCGGCCTCATTTATCTGCAAAGTCTCCCTTCAGAATTAAATAAGTCAAATACCTCTGTGGGTTTTATTTCATGATATCTTCAAAGCATCTCTTTCTGTTTTCCCTGACCACTCCCCGATCCCAACCCCTGTCCCCAGATAAACACTGTTCACGGTCAGACAAGATGGAAGTTTGTATCTTTTCAGTCTCGTTTGCATGCAATTCCCCCAAAAGGAATCGGAAACAAAGACTGGTTTGCTCGTGTGTTTTACTTAGCTGTACCACGTTAAGACTGAACAGCACTGCTCAGGAGGGCCCCCAGGGCCTCTTCCCTCCTTGGTTTCTCGCTCTGTGATTCACATGCATGTCGGAGGGAATCAGACCAGGTTCCCAGGCTTCCTATCCTTGCCTTTGATGGGTACTATTGTGCTCTCCGAATTGCTCTGCTGCAGCTGCAGTCTGCTGCCTCTCTGTGCATTGCTGCGCTGGTGGTAGAGGAAAGAAGACCCTGGGTGGTGGCCCATCACCTCACTGTATGTAGGGGGTGGCCCCTCCATCCTCCCATTACTGCTGCAGGTGGTTGCGCTGATGCCCGAGTTGCTACTTGGTGGGCACGGGCCCCCGCTGTACATGGAAATATCTATCAAATCACTGTCAAATATGGTCCGGTTGGGTGGGGCCCTCACAGACTCCCGGTTGAGCTCCATCTGCTGTTCAGGGTCTCGGAGCTGCAGCGTGCAGGGCCCCTGGTAAGGAGGCGGCTCTTCGCCATCAGACAGGGAGATGGTGGGAGGAAGGTCAATCTCGTGCTGCACGTAGGGGTAGGTGGGCTGGAAGCGGCTAAATCGATCCCTCTGGATAAAGGACGGGGCAGTGAACCGGTCCCTGGACCGTGGGGCATACATGATCTGGAAGGAAAAGGGGAGAGAAGCCTAAAGATACTCTTGGCACAGTGACGACCATGAATGTGATGGGATCAGGGAATTCATGCTTGGTCGGGACTCTCACCAGTGTGAACACCACTTCCCAAACAAAGCAGAGAGAGACTATTCTGGGGCGTTAAAAGCCATACTCTTTTCATTCCTCAATCCTACACACCCTGTCCAACTACAGTATGTCAAGATGGCCAAATAATGGGACACCTGGGTTTAGGGGACCTACAGTGCATGCTGTGTGTGCATTTTCTGAGAATCCAAATAGCTACAGCGGTAATTCTAAGAGTGTCGTAATCAGTGACAGCACGGCACAGACCACACACACCATCACCAGGCCTCGGCTTCCTCACAGGTCAAGTGTGAGCACAGGGCAGGGCCTCCTGCTGCTCAGGCTCTGAAGAGCTCTGGCAACTCTGCTGCAGAATGGCAGTGAGGAGCTCTGAGTTGTAATGGCAAGTGTAAGTTGTAACTTCACACTTGGTACATGAATGGGTAAGGGCACTGAGTCCACTTATCAAGTACTTATAGAAGCTTACTGGCCTATCAGTTATCTTTTTAAAAATTAAAAAATCTAACTTTTATTTCTGGCATCTTTTTTATATCAATATATATTTTAAAATACATATATACACACACATACACATGCACATAATATATACACATATGTATACATGTACACGTGTATGGATACATATGTGCATATATGCATGTAATATATACATATATGTACACCATTTTTTTCTTATTCTGCTGTCAACTTGCTGTTAACAATCACACTGTATTTTTAACTTAAAGGCAAAAAGTTGTCATTTTAACCTCAGAGTTGTGGGGATGAATCATGTCCATACTTGCCAAGGCAATTATGAGAATGGGATCATGCAAAGATCAGTGATTCTCAACATGTTTTCTGTAAGGAGCTTTAGATGAGCACAAATAATCCCCATCAGGTTCCAGGGGAAACCCTCTGTCCCTGCTTTTTGCCATAGTTATAGAGAATGCTGTAGACCGGGAGCGTTATCTCCTCAGCGCCTTCCACTGGTGCTATGGCTGTCACCACCCCCACCCTGACCCCTCTGGCTGCCCCCACGTCTACTCCTTACCTCAGAGGGCCCTGGCTGTGGCACGGAGCTGTCTGAAGGCCACAGGCAGCCTTCCTGATGGCAGGGAGTCAGGGAGGTGAGGAACAAGAAACAGAAAAGAATCATTAGTTTCATGCAGCAGCAGCGCCCGAGATGTTACATACAGCCTGGAAATAGCAGACCTGTTCAAACCCTGGAGCAAGAAAGAACTGGTCCCTTCTGACCCCTCACATATAAAGGGAAGGTTGTAAGCAAAAGGGAAAATAAGAAAGTTTAGGTCTGGCCACGACAGACTTGCAGTAGAGCTAGTCTTGGTCTAGCTCTTTGTCTGTATACTTATATGCTTGAAACATTTCAAAAAGGTCATCAAACCACACTCAGCCAGCCCCAGGCAAGCACACATTATCACAAAGACACGTAGGCTGGCTCTCAAGCCGAAAACCAAGTTCCCAGAGCTAAATGCCCTTCTAGGGTCCTGCAGTAAATTGATTCTTTAGTCTGTGAGATGTACCTTGACATCTAGTTGCTTAAATTTTTTTTTCAAAAATGTTTGGCCAAATTGACATGTGACAAGCAAACATCAGGCATTATATTTTTGCAGGTTTTTTTTGTGTGTGGCCGAGGCCAGGTTTGAACCCACCACTTCTGGTATATGGGGCTAGCGCCTACTCCTTTGAGCCACAGGCACTGCCCCAAACATCAGGCATTATTAAGGGTCATTTTTAATGCCTTGAACCCAAAGCTTTGGCTATTAGCAAGGTCTGTTCCCATAATTAAAATGGGGCAGGGCAGAAACCTGTATTTTTGGATGCCCAGGAATGGGCATATTTGACCTTGTGTGATCACTGTATCTCCTGAGGGCCCAAAGCATAGCTAAGTAAGGGCCTCCATGGTACAACACCCCAGGCTCCTCTGACACAAAGACCACCCTGTTCTGTCCTTTGGCCAGCACTGTGATATAAATACACACCCCTTCATTGCCCAACAGGGTGTTCACCCAGCAATTCGCCTGTTCCCAAGATACTGTAGAACATCATGGAACCAGCAGCAAAAATATATTCTGAGCCAGCTATGTTTTAGAGGAAGGGCAAGCTTAAGGGTCTGACTATAAAACTGTGTAAGGGTCATGCCAGTTCTGGCATGGTGACAGGTGACAGGCAAAGTGAAATCAAACACCCACCCCCTGTGTGGCAGCTGCACAACCCCTTGGGGACCTACTTCCCTGGCAGAGCATCTGTCTACGCTCCAGGCAAAGCATCTCTAAGATTCCTCACTTTGCCCTTGCTGCCCTCACTGCCCCCACAGGGGCCCTTCCCCTCCAGACTGAGGTCTGCCTCATCAACAGTGACCTGAAGATCAAAGCTAGGTGGGAAAGGCCAGACACACAGCCATGCAGTTCATAGCAGAAGGGAGGGACTAACATGAGGGATGTGCATCTTCAGAACATGGCAGTAACTATCCCCAATGGCTTCGTTTCCTTAGAAATGAGCAAACCCAGCAAAGCGTCTAGAAGAGCAATGCACCCCAATGTCCAGCCTCTGGCTCCCCTGCCTCCTTAGAGCTCTGGCCCAGCCCTGCCCTCACTGCAGGGGTCCCTGCTTCTAAGAAAAAAAACCCTTGAAGTAGACCCCACTGGTTGCTCAGCCCTCTCTTTCTGTGTCGCCAGCCCCCTCCCTTATCCTGCTCTGACCAGCTGTCATTCACCTCTGAAAGCCCATCCTTCCTCCCCACAGTCCCTGACCCTCTTGGGGCTGAGGCACAGGCATCAGGTAAGCGGCTGCAGTGGGCACGCCTGGCCCCAGCTTGGTCCCTGTGGTGGGATAGCATCCGCATCTCCAGACTCTCCAGCCCCTAGGGTGACCCAGACAGAGCAGACTCTTCTCTTTGGAAATCACAGCACCCCTGCCACGCGACTGCTGACACACATGCTTCATCTTTTCCCCTAAATGTCACTTACAAACTGACACACACAGCACATGGACACACAGCAGAGCCATGTGATGACAGGATCCACTCTGGCCCTGCGTCACTCCTGCTGCCTCGGGCAACACTACCAGGAGTCCCGGGACTGTTTTTTTTAAATAATGCATTTCCAGGACTTACATGCTTGCCATAGGCATTGTTTAATTTGTTAAATAAGCAACCAAATTCTTTCCTTAATAAACTATTTTTTGTCCTTCTCAGGCAGCCTCAGGAGCCTCAGTTTATAGGGAAACTCAGTTCTCTCTCTCCCATTTGCCTTAAAGGGCATGCTTTTCTAACCGTGTCCCACAGCGACTTCCTGTGGTCGAAAAAGGGCCTAAGAGGAACTCCTGCCTTCCTCAGCACACCTCCGCCTTACCCGGCCTGTGCACAATGCGCAACCATCTGCTCCTGCTGTTCTCAACCAGAGCACCACTGTTTTCTAAACATTTTTCTAGGTGGGATAAAGTGTCCTGCCTTGAGGTCCCCCAAGCCTAGGAAACAAGCCTGGTTCTTTCAAACAGGAAGAGCGTCAGGCACGGGTAACAGAGTTCAGGCCCTTCCTGCCTTGTTGGGACACTGCTGCACATCTGCCAGTGGGTACGGCCTGGAGATGGGGATTTCCTTGCCTAGATTTTGCTTTTTGCAAGAATAATCAGCAAGGCCAGACATGATGGCTCACACCTGTAATCCCAGCACTCTGGGAGGTTGAGGCAGGTGGGCTGCTTGAGCTCAGAAGTTTGAGACCAGCCTGAACAAGAGTAAGACTCAGTCTCTAAAAATAGCTGGGCATTGTGGTAGGCACCTGTAGTCCCAGCTACTCGGGAGGCTGAGGCAGCAGGATCACCTGAGTCCAGGAGTTTGAGGTGCTGTGAGCTGTGAGGAAGGCACAATGCTCTACCCATCACCCTAATACCAGGACAGATTTCTTTGTTCACATGCCCATTCACTACCACGTGTTAAGTCTGTGCAGCTACAATCACATGTTCTCCATGCGTAGACTATCAGTCCTTCCCTCTGCCACCACTACTTTTTCCAGCTTTATTGAAGTATAATTCACAAATAAAAATGATAACTACAAAATAATTTATTTTCTTTTCACTGAGAATGGCCCCTCCCCCAAATTATTCACTTTTATAGGAATTATCTTTTCATGCCTTCACCCACATGGTAGGTAGGGGACATAGTGACTATGAGCCACTGTGCTGAGTGGATTGAGGCCAGCCTCCAGGAAGGCTGTTGTCCCAGTTCTGTGCCCCAGGCTGCTATGCAGAAAAACCAGACTGAGAGACTAACCAGAGTTCTAAAAGTTCTTTAGCCTCTCTGCATGTTTCTTATTCCCCAGTTTTTCCCTGGAACAAAGGCACTGACTATTAAGAAAGGACATACAGGCCCAGCATGGTGGATCGCACCTGTAATCCCAGCACTATGGGAGGCTGAGGCAGGTCGATCCTGTGAGCTCAGGAGTTTGAGTCCTGCCTGAGTTAGAGTGAGACCCTGTCTCCACTAAAAATAGTAAAACTAGCTAGGCATTGTGGTGGGTGCCTGTAGTCCCAGCTACTAGGGAGGCTGAGGCAAGAGGATCCCTTGAGTGCAGGAGTTTGAGGTTGTGAGAGCTATGATGCCATGGCTCTATCCAGGGCAACAGAGTAAGACTCTGTCTCAAAAAAAAAAAAAAGGAAATATAGATTATCCACCAAGAACATAACATTACACAGTGGAGGGTGTGGACCGGAGGACAGGCAGACCCCAAGGTAGCAAAGACCCAGGCGAGAACCCTGGCCCTGCACTCTTCAATATGTGGCTTCACTTGGTCTCTCCAAACAAAGAAGTTGCTGTGAGGCTCAAATGCCACGTCTTCCTTGGCCCAGCACCTTGAGTGAGCACTTGGTAGACAGTGGTCGCCTGTAACTACTAAGCACAATGAAAGAGAGATGATTTTCCACTATCTCTTTTAAGAAATCCCTTTAAAAATAATGAGATCACTGACATTCCTTTTTATGGATTAGTTTTTAAACAATGTCCCAAAGGTGGTATTTTGAATGGAAGGGCTCAGGGCATGCAGATGGCTCATGCCAAGCTGTCTTCATTTCCGATACCCCCTGGAGTTCTCCTCAGGTCTAGAGCTGCAACAACCACTAGCCCCTCATGGGCAAGTTCTCTGAGGCTCCAGACTACTTGGTTGCAACAAAACCCCAGGTTCCGCACAGGCCCCAGGGCCACTGCTGCGTGGTGGCAATCGCACTCTTAGCACATGAACCCAGCGTGGGGAGACTGCCCTGGGCACGGACCTTGCAGCTCATCTGCACCATGCAACTGCTTCCTGACATCATGGGGCCAAATAGGGAGACACTAGACAGGGGAAAACACAACTCTGTAACATTCAATTTTGTCATAAGCTTTTATTTTTGCTTGGATTTTTTTCTAAAAGAAAATCTTCATTGTGAACGAATACACTTGACCCTTGAACAACACAGGTTTAAACTTCAAGGGTCCACTTACGCATGGATTTTTTTTTCCACAAAAAAACACATATTTGTGGGATGCCAAAATCTGCCCATATGGAGGGACCAAGATTTTCATATATGCAGGTGCTGCAGGGCCCACTGAGGGACTGCCACGTTTGGATTTTGGATAAGTCAGGGGTCTTAGAGAGTACTCCCTGTGCGTACTAAGGGATGCTGCACTCTGCTATTTGTTCTTCTCCTGTTAGTGTGACCAGTGGCAGATGATCACTCATGCCCCACTGTCCCTGGGTTGAGTGAGAGTGCTTTTCTTCTATATCTACAGGGTAGACAGAATCCTGGATGGCACTGACCATGCCCAGGGAGATGCTCTCCTCTGACAGTGCCCAGCCTTCGTCCAGAGAGGCACAATGGCATGTGTGGGTAGTTGGTCATCTGAGGCACTTTGGCCTCTCTGAGTTCATCTTAGAAGCTGGCTCCCAGCAAGCACAGCCCCAGGCCCCAGGACCAGGGTCCCCGAGAGCTGGAAGCCATCAGGAGGTTCTGGAGAGCCTGAACTTCTAGTTCTTGCTCCTGTGGGAAACAGACCCAGGACAGCTGCACCCCCAGGACAGCTGCACCCCAGGCTTGGAGATGTGTATTTTCAGG